TAAATTTTAAATTTAAAAAGTATATACATTATTAAAATGTTTTAAAGTCAAAAAAAGGGAAGTTTCACCTTGACTTTCTTGTAATTAACTATTAATCAAAAGGCACAATTCATAACTTGATTTCTTTAAAGCAAGGCAAATCTTTATTCACGTTTATAAAGCAATTAAGAGCAAAATTCATGTAGGATTTTTATTAAAAATATTTTCTGTAACAGTTTGCATTTATCTTGCCCACACATACTATTATAGCAGGGTTTTTTAAAATTTATTTATTTTAGAGAGAGCTTTAGTGGGCAGAGGGGCAGAGGGAGAGAGAGAATCTCAAGCAGACTCCCTGCTAAGTCAGAAGCCCGACACGGGGCTCGATCCCAAGACCCTGAGATTATGACCTGAGCTGAAATCATGAACTGGATGCTCAACTGACTGAGCCACCCAGGCGCCTCTATTATAGCAGTTTTTTAAAAAACCTCTTCTTTATCAAGTCTTTCCAAAGCAATCAATTTCGTTTTCAAAGACATAATCACTCTGTCTTTTCATACTCATATTACATTGGTTTACCATATTTAATTAACAAAATTTCAAAAACAATATAACTGATAATGTAACTTATCCTTATTAAGCATTCAACTTAACCAGCAGTGTCGCAGTATGCAGATCTCAGAGGAGAGCTTACAAGCTGTGAATGTGCTGTGAGCTTCAGTCAGTACGGTTTACACAGGAAAGGCAGAGCAACAGTTAACTCAATAAATTAGTTAAGTGGAAGTCAGAACATACCAAAAGCCTTATAACTTGCATCCCCTGTGACTCAGCAACTCTATTTTATAAATGTATTCTAATTTCTTCCTATCTTTGTGAATAAAGGGTTAGCCAAATCACCAAAGTAAAAAATCAGGAAATCAAAAATATCTGAAAGTCCAGTAACACAAGATTGGAAAAATGAATTGTAGTAAATCATACAGTAGGAATACTGTGCAGCTCTTAAAAGAATATGCAGAAAAAAAAAGAATATGCAGAAAGATGACATATAGTGATGTACATAATATATTATTAAGGAATAAAAAGCAGTTATAAAACAGCATGTACTATAAAAACCTATTTTGGTAAAATATTTAAAGTTTTTTTTTTTTTTTAATTCATTCGAGATACAGAGATACATTGAAAGAGAGAATATGAGCAGGGGGAGAAGCAGAAGGAAGGGGAGAAGCAGGCCCCCCGCTGAGCAGAGAGCCCGATGCGGGGCTCAATCCCAGGACCCTGGGATCATGACCTGAGCTGAAGGCAGGCGCTTAACCATCTGAGCCACCCAGGTGCCCCTATTTTGGTAAAATATTTAAAGAAAAAAGACAGGGTGGGGTGCCTGAGTGGCTCAGTTGGTTAGCCGTCTGCCTTCAACTCAGGTCATGATCCCAGATTCCTGGGATCAAGTTCCGCATCCACCTCCCTGCCCAGCGGGGAGTCTGCTTCTCCCTCTCCCTCTGCCCTTCCCCCTGCTCATGCGCACTCTCTCTCTCTCACCCTCTTTCTAATAAATAAATAAAATCTTTTAAAATAAAAGAAAGAAAAAAAGAAAAAAGACAAGGAGAATCAAGTGAAATAATACATAAAGCTTAACATGGTGCACATTGTAGGCAATCAATAAATGTTAGATATTACTACTGTAATTATTATTAATACAGCATTTGTAACAAAAGCTCACAATAGTTACTTAAGGTTGTAGAACGTCACTGATTTTTCACCTTTTTATATTTCCTAAATTTTTATCACCAAATCTATGTCTGTTTTATAATAAGGATAAAAAACAGCCATTTTGTAAAATGTACCACACAATAAAATGGAAGACTTTAATATAATCAGTTTATACACATATTTCTCATTTATGCTTCCAAAAAGATCATGGTAGTAGAAAGGGCATTATCACAGAGACCTCTGAAAATTATTCCTCAATATGCTGTACTTGGAATTGTGAGAAAATGTCCCTGTCCTGTAGGCAATGAGACACATATGAGCAATGGCAAATTAGATAAACATAGCTACTATCATTATCCAAAAGTCACAAAGCAGCTCTGCTAAAACATAAATAAGTAAACTTCAGACAATTCCATTCTCTAAGACTACCAGTGAGTGGATTTGTATACATATTCTATATGGACCCAAATACCAGTTTTGCCAAATGTATCACACTTCAGCTATGGTACCTTAACAATACACGGTAAATAAAAGACACATTAATTATGAATGTTTATAGCACTCAAGCAGATAAAATGAAAAATTAACATGCTATTATATTCTCTCATTTTATCAAAATACTTACACTCTTTGAATGAATTCTGGAAAAAGTAGTGTATGGGGCCAAAAACTTTGAGGATGCATTTTCCTTTGGACAAGAAATATGAATGCTTTTCTAAATAGAGAGGGAAAGATGAAATTCATCAGTAAAATTACTCCAGTGGAATTAAAGGCTCTTAAAGAAAACATCAGGATGATAGGAAATTCTCATTTTTCAAATGTACCCTCTCTAATCCTCCTTTGCCAGCTTACACTACCACTCCCCTGTAGATTAGCAGCCCTTTTACTGCAAAGGGCTGCAATGTAATTTGGTATTGCTTTGCTGCCCTTATCTTTTTATATCGAAGTAAACTCCCATAGAAGGTGAACCAACAGGAAGATACAAATGACAAATATGAAAGCATTAATTTTTAAAAGAAAATCTAATACCAGTACTCTCAGTTAGCAGTGGGGCAAGAAACAGGATTAACAGATAGGAGGAAACAGCACCAGACTCCAAGTCTAGCACCTAAAAGACTAGTCTAAAAGCTAACTTACTGCCTATAGGAACTTTTAGGAAAAAATGTTAGACTACTGACATCTATAGTTACCAGAGAAAACTGGTAAATTATGGTACACTTATACAATCTGTAGGCCCTGATCAGGCTTGCAGTGCCCATTCCTACCTAGGACTTAAACTGATCATCCATGTTCATAGACTGCTCAGAGCCCCACAGCTGTATTAATTCCCCACGTGTTTTGCTAGTCATTATAACATATCTTTCCACTATTGTAGCAAGAAACACTGGTGACATAGTTGAATGGTGACATTCAAACTATACCTAGAAAAAGATGTTAGGTTCAGGTGACATGACCTGCATAAGGCAGCCTTTGTAACCATTTAAGATTAAGTATGTTGGTGTTTCAAGGTAGCATGTATAGAGGCATAAAAGGCTTAGTAAACCCTTCAGGGTTTCTTGCAATATGATAGTCCTTTAATCTAACTGGCTGAATACCAACACCACCACCTAAGTGTGCATCTCCTATAGGGAGATGAGGAGCTACGCTCACCAAATGGCCCCTAACCTGTTATCCCTTCTGCAGCAGTACTTCAAAGTTTCTGGAAATTCTGCTGAACAATGAAAATGCCTTTAAAAGTCAAGATTTTCTAAACCTCTTTCTAAGACTAAAATACATACAGCAAACACAGGTCCTCACAGTTCTTTAGAAAGAACAATTTCAAAGTAATAACATTCTCATCACTAAAAATCAAAATGCTCTTGGGCGCCTGGGTGGCTCAGTTGGTTAAGCAACTGCCTTCGGCTCAGGTCATGATCCCGGGGTCCTGGGATCGAGTCCCGCATCGGGCTCCCTGCTCTGCAGGGAGCCTGCTTCTCCCTCTGCCTACCACTCTGCCTACTTGTGCACTCTCTCTCAAATAAGTAAAATCTTAAAAAAAAAAAGTGGCTGAATCCCATTTATGCCATAAAAAAAATAAAATAAAAGGCATGTTTAACATAAAATACAGATCTTTAGCTCTTAAAAAATGGAGAAGCTATCATCATGGAGCTTATATTCCTACTTGACAACTTGCTGGAACTGAGTAACAATTCCGCTTTTAGGTGGTTGTATTCTCCAGTCGATAACAGTTGCCATTGCTTCTCATTTTTCTTCCATGGAACTACATTGCCCATTCTGTTTTCTGTCTAGCCCTGTAAGGCATTTGGTAGTGGAAAAGGAGTTGGAAGAGTAACTCCTGCCATCGAAGCTGGAATGCAAAGGGGCGTATGCTCTCATCATCATCAGTAACATTTGAGCATCTATATATTAGAAGCACAAATCTGAAGTATAGTAGGCCCTAAAACTACTTTGAGTCTTTGTGTTGGTGACTGGGGAGGAGAGAAAGAGAAAAGAGGGGAGAAGATAGAGGAATACCAGTTTAAAGAACAATAAAATCCAATTAGACAGAATGGGATGACTGTGGGGCCCTGTCTGCTCAGTGCTGTGGGTCATCAAAGAGAGCAGTGTGGACTGGAGCTTTCAGCAAGAATCTCAAAGAAGGGAGTTAGTTGAGTTGAACCTTTAGTGATGAAGGAAACATTACCTCTTTGTAACATATAACAGAAAGGAATACCATCTACAAGTAAAAAGTACCTAGAAATAAGGAGTGCCTGGGTGGCTCAGTCAGTTAAGCGTCCAACTCTCGATTTTAGCTCAGGTCATGATCTCAGGGTCCTGAGATCAAGCCCCGTGTTGGGCTCCACACTGGGCGTGGAGCCTGCCTAAGATTTTCTCTCTCTCCCTCTCTGCCTCTCCCCACCAACCCCCCAAGCTTGCTTTCTCTCATCTATCTAAAAAAAAAAAGACAGTACCTAGACATCGGTAAGAAGCAAACAGCCCAATTGAAAACTGAACAAAGTTAAAGTAGTATTAGCTATGTCTATTGACAAAAATCAAAAGTATTTATAACAGCCAATGTGGGTGGGGGTGAAGAAGAACAGGCACAATTACACTATTGAAGGGATAATAAATAAAGCTATTGGAAGACAATTTGGTGGGATCTATAAATATTTTATCTTTTTAAAAATATTTGAGAGA